GTACGTCAATACACAGATGATCCGAAAAAAGCATCCAAGATAATTGATAAACATTTACGGGATCGAAATTTTGTAGTTTTCGATTTTACTAAAGCTGTAGATGATTCTCTAGCAGTTAGACTCGGTTGGGATACGCCTATGAAATTGGATACATAGAATAAGATTTTACGCTAAACAGTTATGTTATAGTCTGACGCATTTCTGCTCTAATATTTTGTAAACATGCATAGTGTAAGGCGAGTTTCTGAGCATTAAATCCATCAGGGCGGTAAATCCATTCCACGATTTTTCTTTGTATCTTTATGCACGCTTGAATTCTTTTACCAATTTCCCTTGCGCGTTTGAGTCTTCTGATTGCATTGCATTCCATTCCCATAACTCATAACGATGTAATGCATATTCCTCATCATAATTACGTTTAAAATTAGATTTTTGTTTAATTTCCGAATACTTTTCGTAATTTACACCACAGTATTTATTTCCGGCACATGCAAATTTCCAATGCCTCTCCATTCCTATATGGTTATAATTTCCTATATTCTTTTTTCTTTGTCCGGTGTATACTAATCGATCACAAGAGAAACATATTGCTATTCCGATTTCAGGAGCATATGAACCGCCATTCGGAAATCGTATTAATTTCCTAGCTTCAAGATATTTTTTACTCTGATTCGGTAAGAGGTCATTTTCTCTGAAATATGTTAGACGGGCCCAAATCCGTTTCATCCACTCGCTAGGAGTTTTATTAGTACAAACTTGAGGCATTTCTATATATTCATCCCATTCAGCATCAGTACAATCAGTTCCACGTCTTTCACTTAAGCTAGCCATTGTATATAATCTATTTATATTATAGTGTTTATTGAAGTTATATGTGATTATATCGTATTTAGGGATTTAGACCTATTAGATTTTGTTCTTTATGGTATAAGAATATATGATTCATTTTTAGTGCGGATGCTCGGAGAACGCCCATAGGGCCTGGGTTATTAGATAAGTTGTCATATTTTGCGAGTGATATATACGATGAGAATGGGAGAGATGCATATGAATCTAAAGATTCGCCCCTTTGGGCCTGGGTTGTAGCGAGAGTTGATTCTAAATAATCTATTTGTAACGATATTTATGTATAATTGCTCGTGTATTGTGGATATATGATGATCTATTTTTGACATGCGGATAGATATATATTTTTCTTAGATTTTATTTTATTTTTCACCGCATTAATATAGTGGCCCTGGTGGCCGATTTTGTATAATTAATTGTGTTTACTTCTGCATGTGTATTCGAGATTTATTTTATTGTATTGATATCGGTGTATATGTTCGGGATTTTTTCTTGGCAAAATTTCAGCGAACTTGGTTCGCCCAAAATTACGTGATTTTATCAGACTCGAACTTTTGAACATATTTACATCTTGTATAAAACAATGGGAGACACTCAATCCACAATTAAGACATTGAGAGAATTGAATTCTGATCTTGTTCACCAGATCGCTGAACTTAGAAAGAAGTTTGCTGAGTCGAGGCTGAGAATATCGAGGTTAAAGCTGAGAATGCAAAGTTAAGACAGGATATGGAAGAGTATGAGATTAGATTTGCGAAATTAGAGCAGAATGATAAAGAAAAAACTGACCTTATTGCTAAACTAGATGATGATATCAGGGAAATCAAGGAGCAGAATTTGCAAGACAAGGGTACGGAGTGTCATCGAACTCTTACTAATATTTCATCACATATAGATGTTGAGCCAGCTAAAGATCGAGAACCAACCTAATGAGGAGGAAGCTATTACTCTCAATCCTATGCCCGAAATAGAACATAGCTCAATCCAATCCGAGGAATCAAAGATTAGAGGCTTTGCCTCATCACGAATAACCTTTCCATCCATCGAAAACCACTCCGATAAAAAAACTCCAATACATTGTGAAACAAATGATTCTGATATATACCAAACTATTTGCACGGAGCCTGTTGCAGAGCAACACCATTACCATGGCAAATCATTGGAAGATATAGAGATCGATGAATTCCTAGATTCAGAGGATAAGAAAAGGGTTAGTAATATGATGAGAGAGAGGAATCGGGAAAAAAACTTCAGTGCGAATTACCTAGCCAGGAGGCAGACTCGATTTCCCAGAATACTGCGTCTACTACTTCCCGTGAGCGGAAAAACGAACAGGGCTTGATTCGAGAAATGATTTTATCTAAAGAAGAAAAGCATGTGACTGAAATTTCAGCGAACTTGGTTCGCCAAAATAATGAGACTTCAATAACTCCATCTATTCCAGCCGTGTCCCAGTTGTCACCAGATAATAGAGATATTATTAGTCTATATAAAAACGCATGTGATGCCGAAATTGGTGCGATCGAAGCCAATAGAGAAGAAACATTGCGTTGGTGTTTCTATGCTAGAGAATTCAAAAGCATGTATAAAGATTTTATGGTCAGCAATAAAGTTGGAGAAAAGAACGCGAAAGGTCAAGTATATGATTTTATCATCAAACAACTACCCGTCACCAAGCGCAAAACTTTATGTAAGCAGACACAAAAAGCTTTAAGAATTGATAATTTATTCGAAAAAATAGGAATTGACAAGATTCAATATATCAAAACATATAGTGCGGATACTATTTCAAAATTTACTAATTCTCAGATTCAAACGATTATAGATCACTTCACCAAAAAGCCTGATATAGAATATACCGATGATAAGGACAATTCTTCAGATGATTTACCCGAAGCTGAGTAAGTATACCTATTGATCAAGATGAGTCAAAGACTCGAAGCTCTGCTTCCTCGGAATCACCAGAAGCTTCGGTAAATGCATCTACTGGAACCGAGGTAAGCGAAGTAAGTGATACAAATGCCAATGATAATAAACCACAATCTTTAATTACTGCTTTATCCGACGATGAGCCAGAAAATTTCTCCGATGACGATGA